AGCTACTCAAACATATTTAACCAATCATGTCACTATGCTCTCATTTTGATAGTTTAGTCAGCAGAGCCTCGGCCCTGTTTCTTAATACTTCTTATATGTTTTTTGCTTTTTAATAGAGCTCAAGCGCTATTAAAATCTTGATTCCTGTAAATAAAATCTATAAACCAGTCTCTTCTCTCTGGATTCTGCTTTGCAGTTGCAAACACTGGAGACATGACACAGAACAATAAACCATCAGAGATCCCCTCTGCACAGACTCTAGACATGTTTGGTCCCTAACATGTCTAAAGAAAATCAAGTGCAGCTTTAACAGTACCCTTAAGTTTGTCCACATTATGAAATACTGATAGAGTAAATCAGGGAAACCTGCAGCACAGCTCTCTTGGTGTCAGAAGAAAAGCACTGGCAGCTCATAAGCTGGGCTTAGTCCCATCAAAGAGCTCTTTAAAAGAGGAGTGGTGTCCTGAAACTTTAACATCTGTCCTTGCCGCAACACACCTGAATAAAAATTGTAGGTCATTAGCAACTGCAGTCCGAGGTGGCAGCCCCTAACCCTACTCACGTAAATTTAAATAAAAGTGCAATTTAAAAAAAAATGTGCTTCTAAATCGGCAGCACGGTGGCACGGTGGTTAGCACGGTTACCACACAGCAAGAAGGTCCTGAGTTCAATTCCACCATCAGGCCGGGGTCTTTCTGTGTGGAGACTGTCGACCTGTCCAGGGTGTACCCTGCCTCTCGCACTATGACAGCTGGGATTGGCTCCATCGCCCTCCGCGACCCTGAAAAGGAAAAGCAGATGGCTGGTATTTCTAAATCTACTTTTATTAAACCATGTTCATTCACATTTGAGGTGCTCTAACATGAATCAAATAGCTGAATTGCCACCTCAACATGCAGTCAAGTTCTATAGTCTTGCTAAAGTCCTACGAATTTTATCCAGGTGTGTTGCAGCAGGGACAGATGTAAAAGTTTCAAGACAACGGCCTTCGAGGACTAGAGTATGAACCCTGTGGTTTAATATAGTGGTTTGGAAAAGCAAGCCATGAGGGTTTGTTACTTTTAGAAGGCTGGAGTAACCCGTATGAATCATATATAAGATGTAAACTAGTGCTCAGAATTTAAACTTTACTGTTTCAAAAATTTTAAAAAGTCCACAATTTTGAATTTTGAATGCAGGATATTTTATTAAAGCAATTTAGCAGGAGGAAAACAAAAGAATGCAAATCAACAATCAAAT